GAAAACCAAGTTGAGCAACACCTCAGTACCCAATACTCGGCCAACATTGGACCCATAATGAAGCGTAGTGGTTATAATGTGTCAAAACCAGCTCAGCACTCAAAAGCATGCAGATGGAGCAGGAAATAGATATGCATAGATTTGAGGATGAACATGATGAGTAGTAATTAGCCTTGATATAAAATGAATACAAAATGTCCACTTACCCAAGCAGATAATAAGCAGAAAGCCACAACAGCAAGCTGATAAAGCTCATTTGTCTGATTCACCATAAAAATTATAGATGAGCCAAGTTAGTTATTAAAAGTCAATACAGAAAGGTAACTAGCTCATTCTACTAAGCAATCAAAACTTACTTGAGAGGACAAGTGCATCATCAATTTCAGAAAACGAGGAACAAATGACCAACACAATACAGAGGCAGCAGCAAGATATAGAGACAACACTAGCAGCCTGAAGACACAACAAATTACAAATTATAATTTGCAACAAGCTCTTTATTAGGATGTTGGACTGCAAAAGGACCACTTCAAAGAGAAAAAAATGGTAAACTCGAGCATGGCAAAAAAAGACATGATTAAAATGACTCAGTTTCATTATAACAAAAGAAAATTTTGGAATAGAAACAAATAAAAGGAAAAAGGACGATACAACATGGGAAAATAAAATAAAAATGCCATAAAAGAAGGCACAGAAGCAGAGACTTACAGCTTCCCCACTGATACCATTCCTTGGAAAAGGCCACTATGACCACCCAAAACTGGGAGCAAAGCAAACAGTAAACCAACAGCACAATCCTGAAATAATCCACAGTGAATGAATGTAGCATCATAAACCAAGCTTATTGCATAAAATGCCATCTAGTTATCAGTAAGCATACCATCTGAGTTTTCAGAGTTCAAAACCTACCTGGAAAATGAGTGTTCCAATTGTTACTTGACCATGAAGAGCACTACTACTATTCTGTTCTCCAAGAAATTTTACCACCTGGTAAAAAGGAAATGAGAAAGGAATGTGCACGCAAATTTCAGAAAGAAACAACCAAGGAGGAAAAGTGACATCATATTATTAAGGCTTCAAAAACATACCACTGCTGTTGATGACATTGACAAGAAGGAACCAACAAAAACTCCCTCAGACAACTTTGCTCCGCACAACTGCAAAATAAGCAAAACAGCAATCTTATTGTTTAATTTGACAGGAATTAACTAGTTACTTGTAACAAAAAACTGGTTATCAAGATTGAATACAATACCACAGCAGTTATGGCACACAAGAACATAAATGTTAAGATTTGAAGAAGGCCTCCAAGAACAGCTACAGGGCCCACGGCTTTTAACTGCACAAACAACAAGTTAAATGGCTTCCTTAAACAAAGGTGATTTTCATCCTCACCCTCACCCTCAGGATATGAATTAGAAAATTTCATAATTTACTGCATAACAGACAGAAAACTAAAATTTCCCAAGTCTAACATACCTTAGCCAAAGAAAACTCCAAACCTAGAGCAAAAAGAAGAAATACAACACCAAATTGTGCAACAGTTTC